CTAGATTAGTAGTGTGTATCTCTGAAGCATTACTTTATCAAACATTGATATAATCGATTTACGGACAACCTTCCAAAATAGCATTGTTAATACAGTTGTGTTTGTCGACTTCTTCATAAACTTCATGAAATTTTCTATTAAATGCTTCATGCATGGTAATGAACATGAAATAAATCTTGGATTGCTTCCTCCCGTCCTTTCAATCATTCCAATACAATAGTCAAGGTAGGTAGATTGGCATGCTCTACAAACATTTCATTCAATATATGTAGGAATCGGTGCCAACTACGAAAGTTCTCCTTCTAAAAAATTGCAAAAGCCATTGGAAAGATGCCATCATCGGCATCTACGGCAATCGTACCTAACAAGATCCCTAGATATTGCCCTGTATTTTGCATCTAATGATGTAATTACTTTTCATAATTATCAATAAATCTGATAATATTTGTCAAAAACAAAAAAAAGATTTTTAGATATTAGCTTTTCAAGAATGTCTCTTCAAAACCCATTAATGTCTTGCATCTATTGAAAAGGCTCATGACACAAGGATGGAAGGCAACAAAGAGGCATTTGAACTTACTTGCTCGGCTTGTAGGGATGCGTACTTCAGTTCTGGGGTTCATGGCTCATAACTTTTTACAGAATAAAGGAAGGTCATTGTATTGTTGATTGAGTGATCCAACTATAATTTCTTTAGCAGCCTCTTTTGCCCCGCCATGCTTGCATGTAGCATAATGCCATGATCGCAATGAACATCGTTAATAATGTCTTTTGGTATAATATTGTGCTGGTCATGTATGCGATCTCTAATATTTTTTGCCACCTATTTACTTCGATCAAGTGGCTGGTGAACCCTCCCCATTTGGCTGTTATATGTGCTTATTTACCATGAATTTCACTATGAAGTATGTCGCATTACTAACTCTTAAGCACTGCACTTGCCATGTACACTCATCTGCCTTTCACTTTGCCTAAGCCCACCCCTCTTCACTTCAACAAACTTCAAAACGAAGTTATTAAATACCGCAAATCAACCAAATGGTAACGACAATCATTTTCATTATCAAAATATTGGCCTATTTGCAGGACGACCATGTTACCATCTCCTCTATATGGCTCTTCAATGGTTTGATGTTCTCCAAATCATGTTTTGGTACATCCTTGGCCGTGCTTTGGATAGGCATAACTTCGCTACCATCAATGTGGTCAGGTACTGGTGCATTGAAGCGACTGCCAATACAATTGAACTAAGTATATAAAAACAATTATGAACATGAATGATTCAAGCATATTAAACCTCAAAGTTTGTTAAAAGTATAGGCACTCGCTCCTTGTAAATGAACCTTCACCATGAGGTTGTGCCGGTGGAAATTCCATTGAACATCGCTTAGACTCCAGCTCATTTCCAATGTGTAGAACAATGTTAGAAGGCTCTTCTTGCAGCATATCAGATACATTTAGGTCATCACATATTTATATCAATTCACATCCACTAGCTAAATTAGTATTGTGATACATAATAGTCAACTTTGCCATATTAGACAATGTCAAGTTCTCAAATGAATTTTCAATTGCTCGAAGGAATTACCTCCACGGTACTTAGTCACCTTCAATTTACCTCCCTGTATAGAACAAGTCCTTCATTAGAGTTCTTCTTAAAAGACCCTCCAAAACAAAATAATAATTGTCCATAGTCATTAACGATAACTCTGTATTACATGAATGACATTTTCTAGTTACAAACTAGTAATAAAACAAGTAGAGTTAATTACGTACACCCCTACATAAGTAAGGTGAATACAGTATGCTCCCCTTATATGCGAATATTACATCTAAGGTAGATCAACACGACTTTTTTTTTGAAAAAATTACCCTTTGATTTAAGGATGTTATCCTCGGACCACATTTTAATTATTATTTTTTATTTACTAGGGGCGGTCTGAGGTTAAAATCGTCGGACCGATCTTTTTTTTTTAAAAAAAACAATGGTCAGAAGTCCCCATCATCAAACCGCTTGTTATTTTTTGAAAAAAATAGTGGTCCAAGGTTAGAATCTTCAGACCGATCGTTCTTTTAAAAAAAAAAAAACAATTGTCCGAAGTCCCCAACTGCTCGTTACTTTTTGAAAAAAAATAGCGGTCTAAAGTTAGAATCCTCGGACCGCCCCTCTCTCGCCCGTCCTTTGCATCAGCCAGAAACTTGGCATCTTCGAAGTTAAACCAAATTCTATTGGGGCCTTTCCATCAAAATCCGACACTCAAATTCCCCTAGTTCATGTTCATAAAAATGCGATTCCACCGCTTAAACCTTGTATTCTTACTATCGCCATTCATCGATGGCTGCCCTTTAGAAGAGAGAGAAGCACTCTTGAACTTCAAAGCCAGCCTTTCGGACCGAGGTTAGAATACACAATTTGGAAAGTTAATGGTGGCGAAAAGGGTGGTATGAGGATTCTAACCTCGGACCGCTAGTTTTTTTCAAAAAATTATGAGCGGTGATGGTAACTTCGGACCACTATTTTTTTTATTAAAAAAAAAAAGAGAAGATGATCGATCCAAGAATTCTAACCTCAAATCACCCTTACTAAATAAAAAACATAAAAAGTAAAATTAAAATGTGGTTTGAGGATGGCATTCTCGGATTGAAGAGTAATTTCGTCTAAACAATGTCAAGTTAACCGACTTGATATGTAATATTCGCATATAAAGAAAGCATACTGTATTTTCCCTATTTATATAAGGGGTGTACGTAATTAACTCAAACAATAATTAACTCAAACAAGTAATTAACAAAGAAAGGGAACTATGTAATACCTAATTAAGCAATCAGTAAAGATTCAAGAGTCATCTACAATAGGTATAAAAAATCCCACATTTTCTCAATTATAAAGATTTGTACAAATTATTGGGCCAACTAACTCAACCTCGTATAGCACAAGATCGATTAGCACTATGTATTACTAAACTAATCCATCAATATGGTCAGTCAATTAATCAGTTCAAACTCAAGATGCACATTTTGATAGAAATTTGAAATATTTCGTACATTGGTTCATATAAATTCAATCAATAAATACTTATATAAAGAATGATTGAGGAAGGTATAGATCCATCAATATGGTCAGCCAATTAATCACTTCAAACTCAAGATGCACATTTCAATCAACTTGATTGTTTATCTGAAAGGAAACCTAGATAGAAAATGTGCTTGTGAGAGGGAGACAGAGCAGGTCAGATGCTCATGTGAGAGGGCCATTGAGAAATAGAGAGAGAGGTAGAGATTAGTAGTGAGAGAAACGCATGTAGGTTTATTTCGTTAAATTTTCGGATTTGAAGTGCCCAAAAAATTGTGGATTTTTAGGATTTGAAATTGACATAAATTCAGTTTTTTTAAAATCTGAAAAGTACATGCCACATGAGTTGCATGGAAAGAAATTTCAGATTTTGGAAAATCGAAATGACAGTACTTAGGACACTCAAAATTTTCATTTTTAGGGCCCTCGAACGAATGAATATTTCGGATCTCGAATTTCTAAAAAGGGCAATTCGGTCATTGTAAAAATGCCAAAAATCGGTGTAAAAACAGCTATATAGTAATAGGAAAAAGTTTATATAAGGATGCTACCTTATAATGTAGGATTTCGGACGCCCCTCAAAAATCTATCGGTAAAGGTAGTTTTAATGTTGAAAAACCCTTTGATTGATCATCTAGACATCGAGATATATGACAATGAAAAATAAAAAGATTTTAAGTCTCAAAAATAGTGCATTTTACAACATATTATCTACAATGTCTATTTTCAAGATTTTCATATGTTTATAGATCTACTTGATTTTAACTATTTTTGAAATTTAAAATTTTATAATTAGATATAAAAATAGATTTTGAGATACTCTTAAGAACGTTTTACATTAAAATTATATACCATGATAAAATTTGAAGGCGCACCTTACCTCTACACCTATGGACGCATCCGTATGCCAACTGCACCCATAGTAATAACCTCAAATTTTAGGTAATTTTGTAATAATGGTAAATATAACATATTCATACGTAAATTTATAAAAAAATAATTTTGAAATAAAAAATAAAAAACTAAATAGGAAACTATTTTAGGAAAAGGAAATTTTTTTTGACACATCCATCTCAAATATGGACGTTTGTGTGCATTGGATCAAGTAACATATTAACGGTGCCAAAAACAAACCTAAAAAGAGCACATTTTAAAGTTTTTTTTTTTTTTCATGATCAGCTGATCATGAATTCGTAAAAGTCAAATAAAAAAGAAAAATTATTTCATGCAGGTTGGACAGCATTTCTATATATGTGATCCAAAAAGTGTAAAGCATCCATTTTCAAGATGGATGCAAGTAGGTCTTCCATCTAAAAACAATGAAACTATCGATCCAAATGTTTTCTTATGTTATTTTTAGTTTTAAAAATTTATTTATTTATTCATATTTATGATGTTAGATATTAAATATCCTTAAAAATTAAAAATTAAATCCTAAAATCCATCTCAAAAATAGTTTTATTAAGAGGGCAGCATATCTACATATGTGGGCTTGGCCGCGTGGAAACAGGGTCCAATAAAAAATCCATCTTTCAGTTGGATTTAGAGTGGGGCCGTACCTGTACACGTGAGTCGGCTGACTCATAGATGATCTATTATGTCAAACGTCAGGACTCGAGAAGAAAGCACCATGTTAAAGGGAGAGAAGATCCCTTCTATCCCCTCTTAGTCCTCTCTGCCTTGAACCTCACCTCCAGATCTCTCCCACCCTCTCTCTCTCTCTCTCCCTCNCTCTCTCTCTCCTTCTCTCTCTGCTCTCTGTCTGCTCTCGCTGCTCTGCTGTCTGTCGTCGTCGTCGTACTGTCTA